AGAGATAGAGAGAGAGATATAGACATATGTTTGTTTTATAATGTATTATTAAACAGAAATCCCTATTCAATCATACTGTATGTAATAAAATACACTCAGTCTCTCTCACCAGAAACTATGGGAAAAATTTTTATATATATATATATATATATATATATATATATATATATAAATATATATATATATATTTATAAATATTGAATGCATGACATGTAAAATGTTGACCTATTTAGACGCATTGATGCGTCATGACGTCATGCGAAGCCACCGGAAGAGTGAGTTATGTGTCCCTGCCCCGGCAGCTCAGTCAATCCAACCTGAAGAGAGGGCGAGTCTACGGCTAAAAATATAACTGCTAACACAAGATGGCCGGTTTGCCTCGTAGGATTATAAAGGTACACCTGACAGTGGACAACTCTTATATTATATGTATGATGAGCTAATGTTTAGGTTTCGCAAAGTTATGTTAGTGTTATTCTGGATGTTAAAATACCACCATCTGGCGTCTAGTCCTCTTGTTAGCACAGTTAGCTCCCGTTTAGCTCACCCTCGCTTGAATGCAAGTGTTTTGTTTGCCACTTCCGTTTACTCCCTTCTGCTCAGTGAGCGATTTTAAACTCGCGCTAGCTTCTTGTTGATCTCGGTGTTTCTGACGTGCCATTTTCCTTCTTGATGTCGTTCATCGGCTATTAATTCCAGCTTGTCCCAGTCGCCATATGAATGAATTTTAAGCTAGGCTAGGTGGCTTTAGCTGCTGCACATGCCTAAAACGCTGCCTCTAAAACACTCCAGAATGCCTTCAGTGTGGAGCATGTGTTGCTCGTACTTTTCCACGTAACGAACCTTGAAATTAAACCGTTTTAAACCGTTTTGCGGGTCACCACAGTCTCCTTGGACCGGGCCCGACTGTGGGCGCGATCAGCCTCTTCCGCCCCACGAGCCGCAGGTTGAGCAGGTTTGTGCACCCTGCAATGCGAGACCACGTCCCGGCTAATTCTTTAGGATTCTGCGTTTTATTTCCCAGTCACGACAACGGAAGCCATTTCATTTTTATACCCCCCCCTTAAAAAAAAAAGTATTTTTCCTGGTAATCTTAGATTCTCGAGTGCACCTGCCCGTTGTAAAATGTAGTCATAAGAAAGTAGCTCGCATCCGTTTTTTAACTGCTAATATAAATCAAAACTGTTTTTATTACATTACTGGTAACATGTGCTGCCTACCAGAATCTAATAGAAAATTTCAGACAAGTTGAATAAAATAGATCAGAGTAAAAAGGCATCTATGTTCAACGTAAAAGCAATATCTGTTTGTGGCCTCTCTTACTATAATAATTACTAACAAACTGCTCAACCACATCATCTAAATTACTTTATATTCATCTAAAGGCACATGGAGTTAAATCTGTTGATTTTTATTACTCCATGATCTGAACTTGACACCATATTTGATAGAAACATTGTAATTTTTACAAGCATATTTACAGTTTGCATCCACTTTTGATGTCATTTAAACAGTACTCGCTTTATCTCAAGGTGCATAAATAGTAGCCTATGACGGACTGTTTCGATGAGCGTCCCTCTGCGTTTTTCACAAATCTAGTAGAAAAGCCAAACACTACTTGCTGTGGGCACATTTTGGTTTGAAGCCAGATAAAGCAGGCGAGCTTATACTGTAATTGAGCGCACCTGAAAATAAGCCGCGCCCACTAAATTTAAAAAGGAAGTTAAAATTTTACATAAATAGGCCGCACTTGTCTATAATCTGTTGGTGTTCACGTTGTTATGAGATATTTACTTTTAATTAAATACGTACTGGTAACGCGCACAAATATAGTGATTTTTACTTTCCTTCTTTTTTTTTTTTTTTGCATTTTCTGAACAGTGCACCGCTGATTAAAAGAAATACAGTAGTCTACCAGGAAGTCATTGGGCAGCTATGTGCGCGCCTGGGTGTGACGAAGCTAAATGTTTTGGTGGCATGAAGCTCGTTAGCTTATCAATTAACCGCAGCATTGTTCAAAACGTGTGGGGGAAAAAGTAGCGGCTTATAGTCTGGAATTTACGGTAGTTTGTTGACTGGGCAAATGTAATTGTTAGAAGCGATTTTACGACCAATATACAACTAAAAGCAACTTTAAAACAATTATTACATTTATTGAGTATTATAGAAGCTTTTTGAGTCTATTTGTAAACCATATATTTAGTTGTGCAATGGGTAATTTAAAGTAATTCTAAATACTTGTAGGTTCCCAGGTGTTTTTTGTTTTACTCAATGGACAGGTATGTGCTGTGACAAGTTAGGTGTTGCACAGTGTGTGAGAAGTCCCAGCTCTCAGTTACCTGTTTGTTTGTTTGTTAAACACCAGCTAGTGGAATGTTGTCTTGTCAGTATGCGTGAAAAGAGCGCGTGGTCTCAACCATTTCCTGCTCTAAAGTCTTAACCTGCAGGCACTCCCCACCACACACGCATTCCTTTCCACAGCTGTTTTCAAATCTAAAAATGTCATCACTGTGATTTTTTTTTATTTTTTATGTTTTCATCACATCCAGGAGACACAGCGGTTGATGGCGGAGCCCGTTCCTGGGATCACAGCTATGCCCGACGACGGGAATGCACGCTACTTCCACGTGGTCATCGCAGGGCCTCAAGACTCTCCTTTTGAAGGAGGAACGTTTAAACTTGAACTATTTCTTCCAGAAGAGTACCCCATGGCAGCTCCCAAAGTGCGATTCATGACCAAAATCTATCACCCCAATGTTGACAAATTGGGAAGAATATGTTTAGACATTTTGAAAGGTAAGATTTAATTTTTTTTTCTTTTTACTATTTTTATTCAAACTGTTTGACTTCGGCTTACTGAACAAAGGCAACAAAGTAGGTTTGTGTCATGCGTTGTAAATATTAGCTGCAGTAAACAAAATCTCACAGCAATAGCAATTTATTAGGTTTTATTTTAGCTCGTTTTGCTTTAACACACGGTGGCTTTTAAAGATGCCAAACTACTTTGTTTGCTTGTGAGAAAACGTTACTTTTTATGTAAATAAATAGACTGTTAAAGCTGCTGTAGTTGTACGTTAAAATGAGCCAACACATTGTTCTAACGGTGCACAGAGCAACTAAATGCATTTTGAGCAAGTTTGATTATTGCTGTCAACTCTGTCCCATCACATCTTGAGCTTAAATGTTACAGTTGCGTTGTTAATTTCTATATTCTGATACTTGCGCCGCTTGAAAACGTCACAGCTGACAAGTCAAATTAATGGGTGGTATTTTTGAAGATACTGGCAGTGAGAGGCAAAAAATAAAAATCCCAGCCACAATGTGGTTGTGGAGTAAAAATGACAGTAATTTGTGGCTTTAAATGAGCTCTATAAAATGTGAAAAATGCAAAGCTTCTAAATATGTTTAATTACACATATTCTTTTTTAGTTTAAGAAAAGAGCTAATGTTTGGATAGAGGTTTATGATTAGCAGTCACTAGTTGATTTGTCTTAAATCATTCATATTTTGAGTTTTTTCTATCTATCAATGACATGTTGCAGGTGGTTGGATACCATCAGATCTTTGTGTTTTCCATCTTTGACCTCTGTTATTTTTGTCTTTTTCCACACCACCTCCTCATAGACAAGTGGTCTCCAGCCCTGCAGATCCGTACAGTGTTGCTATCTATCCAGGCATTATTAAGTGCTCCCAACCCAGATGATCCCCTGGCAAACGATGTCGCAGAGCAGTGGAAGAAGAACGAAAGCCATGCCATCGAGACAGGTCAGCAGGAATTGTTCGATTTTCATTTTTAAAGTGCTCAGGATGGAGCGAGGCGAACTGCACCGCAGCGGCTTCAGGTTGTCGCAGATTTCCAGTAGGAGAGATGGACAGATGGCTGCAAACATTAGCCAAGTTCTCTTGAAATTCCTCCCACATTGCAAATGATCCAACAGTTAACGATGGGTTTTCTGGTGGTAAGGAAGTACTTTGCTGTCGAGTCTCAACAGCTTTGAAAGATGGACACGCTTTTTGGAGCTTAATTTGACTCCTAATGAAAGAAGCTAACCTGGAAGTGAAGTGGCGATGTAACAGGGATTTGGTGTTCGTCACTGTTGAGCAGGCATCACTCCGGGGAAAGTATAATTCAGCTGCTGTGTCAGTTTCAGTACATAGAGGCGTTAAAATTGCCGCTTCATAAATAAGTTTGATTTATCAAACTTTCAGCACAATTCATGAATACAGTAGTCCCTCGTTTATCACAGGGGTTACGTTCTGGACCCCCTGCAATAAGTGAAAAATCACTGAGTAGGAATACTGTATTTATTTTAGTATTTATATATATTTTAAGGCTTTCTAAACCCTTCCCACACTTTTACAATGTTCTGAACTTTTAAACCTATGTAATTTTAACAACATACATATATGTACTGCTCGGTACACAACGGTCCCGATCGAGTCCAAATCCGAATGAAAAGATGTCCCAGTGAGGTCCGGAGAAAACACCAGACCTCCAAGCAACACCTCCCCACTGGAGAGGCTCCCTGGGCCCTGGCAAGAAGCGCTTGGATTGACAGATGATGCTGGAAGTTCGGTTCTGGTCCAATTCCCGGTCGGTTCCGTACGGCTCTCTGCATCCACTGAGCACCGACGTCACTGTGAATAAGGACCGAACTTTTTCAGATCGGATCAAAACTTTCCATTCCTTTCAGCAGAAAGCAATGGCTGGAAGCACTGTTGGGGCTTCTGGGAAATGCAGTCCTTTTGACTGGCGATACAGTGTAGGCTTATTGAGAGAAAACTACAAAATGGCAACACCTGTCCAAAGTATTTTTTTTCCATTAACTTTTTACTGTATCCAGTACTGTCCCAATCATGAGTAATATTTAAATTGACAATTGCGACTCGTATACAATCCTTTTATTTTTTCCTTCTCATGTACAGTCTTACTTTGAAAAACCGCAAAAGAGTGAGTCCGCAAAAGTCAAACCGCGAAGTAGCGAGGGACTATCGGTTTCGATTCAGTTTATTTATATAGCGCCAAGTCACAGCAGTATTATTCCAACATTTGGGATGTGAGGGGGTCTCCAACAAAGATTTGAAATGTAAATGATGTCGTCCTCTGTTCAAATGTTTTCCTACCTGAGGCCACAGGCTGAGCCGAATGAGTTACGCTTCCTCTTCCAATTCTTGGTTAATTGTCTTCACTCAAATCTTGTGATCTTATTTGTGATGCAGTTCGACAGCTGAACAGCTGATGCCGATCAAATAGGCAGTCAGGACACAATGAGTTGGCTTCTCCTTTTTTTTCCCATTGCAAAATAAATAATTTTAGTTTTTTTAAGAAATCAAGAAGGCGTGAATGAAGTCATGCTGATAATGATGCAGCCAATGTTGAGTCACTTTGTTTTAAGCAACTTTATTTTTTTTTTTTACTTGTCACAAAATCTAGATGTGAAACAACTTCCGTAAAAAATAGTTTCTACAGCAGGAATCTACGGCAACTCTACAAGGACAAACGGCACCGCCCAGCAACTACTCTGCTGACTTCCAATGGCAGCGCAGATGAACAAAATTAAATTTTGACATTTGAAAATCAACTCTGAATCAGTGTTGCATCTATCCCATCTCTAATAATAATAATCCTTAATCAATGTTTATATGTTTCTCTGTGTGCAGAACAGGAAAGCTGGTTTATAAGAAAAACACCTTTAAGTCGTTTAAATGTTTGTTTGATTTTAAACAATGCACTTTCACTTTTCCAAACACCAACTTCATCTCTTGGTAACAAAACGACCAACTTAAAGCTGTCGAGTTGGAAATCTATTGGATTTAAAGGTGTCGATTTTTTTTTTAATTAAAGGCTTTGTTAGCGTGACACTTTTGGAAAAACTAAACAAAATATTTACTGTCATGTAGAGTTATTGAGCGTAAAAAAATCCGACCCGGCCCGTAGCCATTTTTTTTCAGACCCCGGCCTGACCAATTAACTGTAATTACAGGTCTGAACCCTGGGAAAAATAATTATTAAGCTTTTACTGCTTTTGTAAGCAAATCAGTTTCACGTGATGGCTTTAAAAACAGATTTCAAAGAAAGGAAGATATAAGATTTCTTGTTTATTAACAAGTCACCTAATTAATAACATACAAAACGAATAGCCTAAAAAAATCAACTCTAAAGAAAAGCTATTAACAGATGAACAAAAATGTTTTGAGAGCAAAATTATTTGGAAAAATATAAAACAAGTCTATTTTAATTGAACTCGCTTTGGCTTTTGCAGCTATGCTGCAACTTTACTGCATATGACAGCACAGCCGATGATCCGGTGATCCATCTGAAGCTTAACACAACTTCTTTTAATTTTTTTTAACATCTTTCAACCGGCTGGTCAGCGAATGCGCGCAGCCGATGATCCAGTTGTCCATCTGAAGCTTAACGTAAGTTTTTTTTAACGTCTTTCAACCAGCTGGTCAGCGGACGCGCACGGCCGATGATCCATTGTCCCTCTGCAGCTTAACATAACTTTTTTCACCTCTTTCAACCGGCTGGTCGGACCAGAGCGTGCACCTGACATAAGCAGGTTTCACTGTGCTGGCTTTGTAGAGTGAGTTCTCCTGTTTTTAGCTTTTGGTTAATACTTTCCAGCTCCATTATGTCACTTGTTGTAGGTCAATTGCAAATCCTCAGATGTGTGATAAGAGCAAAGGGCGGGCGGGGTCACATGCTCAATTAAAACCGTATCAAAAGCCCGAGCCTCACCTGGCCGGAATTTCGGTCTCGGGCCAGAAATGGTAACTCTAGTGTCATTAAAAATCTTGGGGCAAAAATAAAAATTTTTGTCCCGTGAGCCAGCCTGTTTGTCCTCTGCATCACTGATCACCTGTTTACCGTTTGATCGATTCGTAAACATCGTAACTTTTCTGTTGTTTCTCCCACAGCCCGAACATGGACCAGGCTGTACGCAAGCAACACTGAAGTATAGAAGAAGCGAGCAGAGGCGACTGAATGTGATCTACAAAATGTACTCCTATTCTGTCAACATTTGAATTTAACGGACACACAAGAAAAAAAAAAAAAGAAATAAGTCCAAATCTGTTTGAAAGAAATGACGAGATTTACTGTTGCAGACTTTTGGGTGACTTATTTTCCTCTTAAAATGCGTTAAATGTGTGTTAGCCTTGCCGTCGTCATCTTTTTTTTTTTTTTTTTTTTTCTTCTTTTCATATTTTTTTTGTGTTGCTATTTAAATGTGAGGTGGAAAACCTCCCCCACGTCTGTGTCCTGATTTAGGCACCGACTGGTACGTTTCGCAAAATCTTCATGCATTAAAGCTTTCTGTCTTTTAACAAATACATTATTTGTCGCCACATCTGTACGTCTTTTTGTTCAACATGGCCAGTTGTGTTTAAAAACAAAACTTTCCACCGCCACTTAAGTTACAAAAATGGTACCATTTTCCTCATATTGGATCATAAAGGCAAAAAGATTTCACTCTGTGGATGTTTCACGAAGCACAGAAGCAAAACAGACACTTAATACTGAACTCATGAACAGATATTAGTAAAACCTGACGTGATGGTGAGGCTAAGTGAGTCCACGGAGGGCAAAAAGAGCTCCAAATGAGCTTACATTGAGAAGTTTTGTGCTAAATGTGAAAAAGATTTGGGATTTATTTGTAATCATACGATCTGAGGAGGTTCTTACTGTTAATAAAAAAAAAATTAGAATGTCCTTAAAGTAACTGTTGGATTCGATGGAGGAGCCCGAATAACTGAAGATGCGCAGGACTTGTCAGTAAGATGAAACGTAATAATATCTTAACGATTTAGGTTAGAAAAGCAGATTCTTGTCGGATAAAGCTGTAAGGAGGATTAAAAATTACTGAATAGATTTCATGTAAGAACGAGTGCACTTGTAGCTATATTTATATCACGAGTTTCCACTTTGCTTTTTTCATATGTAGTCACTGACTAGAACAGCTTGCAGAGGGTGAGCCGAGTACTTCCACTCCATTAAAATGTAATTTCCAACACTTTCAGAACAAATCTGAATCCATTCATATGTTGAAAGTGTCCTTTTTTAAAGCAAAGTTCATGTTTTTTTTTTTCTTTCATTTAGATATTTTTAACCATCTGTCCGTGTCATTTTTTTATTTTGAGCATTACGTTTGAACCGGCGAACACCGGAACCAGTCTATCGGAACAGTTTTAGTCAGGTCGTGGTTGTTGGGTGCTTTTTTTTTTTTTTTTTTTTTTTAGTTTTTGCTGTTAGTTATAAAGTCGTCTAAAGTGCTTTTGACCTTTTTATTAATAATGATGCGCTGATTATGCAAGTGGATTTGAACGGTCCCAAAGGAGGAGATAAGCTCATTGTGATGGTGAAATACAGTGATATTGCAAATAAAACATTTAAAGTTAAAAGTCCTGGTTGGTTTTGTATTGGCTGGAGTGACCTTGCATCAAATTCTGGACTATGATGTGTAGAAATACTTAATTTAAAAATATAATTCCCCCTCAGTAAGACTAAATTTAGGTGAAGAGGTCATATTTGTGGCTTATTACTGGAAAGTTGCGTCGTTTATTGTAGCCCTCTTAAGTTAAACACTGCAATTCGGTTTTTGCTTAAATTTTTTTCCTACATCTGCTTTACTACTGCTGCATTTGTCCAAGCCTGACATTTTCAATCTTGGCCTAAAACCTGGTAAATTTGTTTCCCAAAAGGACTTGACAGTAAACTGAAAATAAATAACGGTTGAAACGCTTGCAGATCAAAACATTGAGATCCAACTGATAAATCGTCTCGTTATGCGTGGGTTTGTCGATATCCGTATATTTGCATACATGGCTCTTCAAACACCCTGTAAATAAAGTGAGTTCAGTAAGTAAGAGTCTGTTATTTTTTATGATTTGTGTTTTCAAGCTTGAAATAGTGAATCTAAGATATATTTTGTGCAGGGTGACAGTGCCATAAATGACTTTTGTGATCAAGGTTTTGCACTTTAAGGTTTAATTTAAATGCTGGCACAGCTTTATCTTTCATAAACTTTTTTTTTGACACATTTTAAAATAGCCCAAAGAGTGCTGTGTTTGAGATTTTTCATGCAGTTGTTCACTTTGAATGTGTTGTAGTACCGAGTTTGTTCACTAGAGGGAGCCATATAAAATTCACAAGTATTTAAAACGTTGCAGCGCCTGTAATTCTTAATATGAATAGTACAGCAAAAAGTAGGTCCATGGTTGTTTTCTTAGGATTAACTTAGAAGATAAAAAAGGATATTCATGCCAATATAGACACATTTAAAAAAAAATTTCAAATACTTTTTGTTTTTATGATTAACCACTGTCATGATCAATGTTCATGCTGGTTATTTCATATTTTGGAGAAGTGTAGAACGGCCTCTGCACCAAATCTGCCAGGAGAAAAACACTAAAATTGGCTTGTTTTTGCCTAAACACAATATTTAATTATTTAGTTTTGTTGTTCTTGAGTTGAGTGATTGACAGGCGTTAGGCCACACCTCCTTGATTAGCTTTCACCCAATCAGCGTGTACGTAATGTGACGTTCCTCCGGCGCTTGTTTGCGGCGCGAACCGAGTTTTAGCATACATTACAGCGTTTTAATCTACTTTCTCGTCGTTTTTTTAGCAATTTTATTTTATTTTTGAGGAAAGTGGAAGTAAAGAGGGGCCGGACAAATAATATTCAAACAGACAAACGAACACATGTAGCTTTTGTATACATCTATGTAACTTGGTTTTAGCAAAAGGACCACAAGCTAACAGTGTTAGCTTTGTTTTCACCCTGTCCTGTGATCTTCAGAAAGGTAAGATGAGCAGTGTGGATCTTTTTCAGAGAGCTTCAATATTTTATTTATTAAGATTTTTTTAGCACTTGCTGAGACTTTTGTTGCGCGGGAATTCATCTTGAAATCACCCAATTTCACTGAAGGACATGAACTTTTTTTGTGTTAACTCAAAAAAGCCAAATCGTTTATTTTTGACCCAGAATTCTTTGTCTTTTAATAAAGCATTTATTAACCTGTTTTGATTAATGTCAAAAAGTTTGGTGCAGTGTGCTCCAAATCAGTTATGCAAGTTAAAGCCACTGATAACATACAATTCTGAAATGCAGGTATGCGCTGAATGTAAACAAAACATTTATCTGCATACTTCTACTAACAGTTATGAGTAGAAATACTCGTCAATACATAAAAGTCGTCAAACCTCTTTGTCCCAAATGACTCTTTCACCATTGTTGGCTTCGTTGACCAATTTTCAGTCCCTTCGGCTGTTTCTGTATGCAAACAAACACGTGGTAGCTTGAATCCTGTCACATGTTTTGCTTAAAAGCATTTTAATTTAAGGACACATTAACAATCAGTATGAAAAAGAATAATGTGCAGATTTAGATTTTTTTACTAAAATATTTTTTGACTGGTATTCCAGTGAGTAAATAACAATTGTAGTTCCAAACCATAAATGAGAAAGTGGGAGTATCTCAGTTTTGACTCAAAATGATGACTCTGTTAATGAGGCATGGTGAATTCTCTGGTTAAGTTAAACATCCAAGAAATGAAACGTTGCTTGGTGAAAACATTCGCTTAATGAGCCACGCTTCCTGTCAGGTACGACCACAGAGTTAAATGAGACAACTACAACCCACTTGGTATATTTTTATGTTTGTGGACATCAGCCTCATTTATTAAATCCTGAAAACGTACTCGGTGACCTCACTGCTTTTGTTATGAACACTTTTTACAACAAAGACAGGTTGGCAATAAAAATCCTGTCGCAGAAGAACAATTAGGACCGTCTGTCTCTGTATGATGGGTCTAATGCTTTTCCTCTTGCAATTAGCTGGAACTCAACCCGGTAATTGTGACATTTGAGTGACAATAAAACAAGTTTTGAAATTGTTTTTTTTTAAAGTCCCTCTTTAGCTACATGTTGTACAAACTCAAAAGCTTAGAGAAATAATTCAACCATTCGTTGTCACTTCAACAAAGAATTCAAACATGGTTAAACTCACGTGTGGATAAAACAAATTCTATTGAACTTGGTCAGTATTTGCTCAGTTTTAAGCTTTAAGGATCCGAGCAGAACCTCTCACATTTGATTTAATTGAACAATTCTACTGTCTATATTTTTATAAATTAACAGGTTTGCTTGCAAGAAAATCTGTTGCAAACCATTAGTGTTGCATCCTCCAGGTGGTGCTGAGGAGTTTTGCAAAGTTCTTCTTTTCAGTTTTCTCCACTTTTATCAAATAGGATTCGTCCAGTTGAGATATTTACTTGTGAAAGTAAAGTGGTTTTGGAAACACTGATGATTTTTTTCCCCTCTTCTTATGAATTTCATGTTCCGCGCTGGCCTGTAATATCAAAACAGAAAAGGTTGGTCAATGTTTTACTCTAAAATCTTTATTTATATGACGACCAGTTCGATATGCAGCCGTTCTTTAGAGTGGAGTTGCAGGAAACAATTCCCCGTTATCTGTAATATCTGAGCAAACATTAACAGCACATTGTCTCTGAAAAGGCTTTGTTGTTGCATCACTCGTTTCAGTCTTTGTCAGTCATTGACACACAGCAAACTCATAAATATGAAGCCGGTTTTTATGATTTTTTTATTTATATATTAACTTTTCTTTAACCCGGCAAATTCCACTGAGCTCACAGGAAGGCCTGGGCCTGAAGCGAGCCTAATGATGACAAGTTGTTTTGTCAAAAGAGGTTTATTTAAAGACGGCAACGTAGTCTCTTGACATGTCAAACTGAGCTTTGTGACACAAAAATGTCCAGTTTTTGTTCAAAGATAAAATATTTAGTTTTTACTATCGGGTTCCAGACATTGACCTTATGACCTTTGAAATAAAGACCCGTTTTAGTATCTAATCGTGTAAATGCTGAGTCAGCATTGACTCAATTGTCGTCTTTTTTGTAATTTCTTTTGTACATATTTTACTATAAAATGCTTTTTTAACCTTTCATACGTTAAATCATTTAACTTGATTAATGATAGTGCTATGAGTGTTTTTTTACTTTTATCCTTAAAAAAATATTTAACTTAAAAAAACAAAAGCCAATATTCTTCTTACAAATGCATTGAGATCACCACAATTCCTTCAAGTATTTTAATTGAAATCTGTTGCATACCTGCTCTATATTAGATTTAAGCTACTTTTAGCTACCATTCAGCTACTTT